TTGTCCATCTTTCCGGCATTGAAGCATTTTTATTAATCATTCGTTTGTGCCCAAGATTTCACTGGCAACACACCATTTTCGCGTCTGTGCAAGCTCACCCGATCACGTAGATGCCCGCTGAATTGAACTGCACAGGGTGGCGATGTTTTTAAGTTGGCCGTGATGTGAAAATTCAACCAATGTGAAAACAAAAATGTGAACTTTAAAAGGAGCCCACCTCATCATTCTGTCCCATGCATAGCACGCCGACTTTTTTTTAATCAAAGGCTCCCTCTCACAAGGCCTTGGCTGGCTATTAGCAAGAAGACTTTTATGCCTCCAGGGTAAGATCAGGGCATGGTAATCTGTTGTGAAAACCTGACCATTTTATGGCCCATGGGGGCTTAGGGCCCACATTGCAGGTCCGAAAAGCTGGCCGTGTGGGTGTTAGATATACACATTCTAGCGCTCTGATGTGTTGTTTCGGTTTGTATTGTGTGTTGTTTGACATGATATCTGATGTTTCGGTCCACGTTCTTGGAGCTTAGTGACACCGTCGGACATTGTGCCAAACAACACGTGACACAACCCACAAACACATCTTTCTGGGAGTTTCACGGTAAAATAGCCACAAGATGCGCAGACGTAATGGACACATCGCTGCTGACACGTGTTGTAGGCGTAACAGAATTATGCTCGAAAAAGCTGATTTCGTTTTTTATTTTTTAAAAAAGGAACCTTGAAACATCGGCAGGCTTCAGGCCATACAACAACATCTAATGAATGCCATAAAACAGTGCCATGCTTTGTGGAAATATCCCTAAAAATAGGGTCAAAGGCATTTTTGGGGGGGTCAGGAGTCATGACAGGCTTATTACGCGGAATAGGCCAGGCAGTGTTCCGTGAGCAATGCTGGCGAGTGCCGATGTCGCTGATGAATTCACGAGAGCCTCTGAGGAATGAGCCGTGTAGAGGTAGCGAGGAGAGTCAGCACTGCCAGCTCGGTGGGTTCACGTGGGCAACACAACCACGAGGGCTTGTAATAATGACTGTAACATCATCACTCGCCGTGATCTATCAACTGCTGGATGAATGCCTCCCCCAAGCCGTCGCCATCCCCCGTGGTCTCACGCCGCGACAATTCATTCGTGCAGCTACATACGCACGGCAAAAATATCTTGCGTCAGATAATTCGGACATCGATAACTGTGGAATAACATAACCTAATCTCGTTCAAACTGAGTTGGCACACGACAATCATAAAGTGGTAATAGTTTTTGGTCCCGTAAAATTGCAACAGAAGTAAAATAGCATCGCAGTTTGTAGCTGTAACGCCTATTTCACTGGATGTAAACACGTTTCCTGTACAGCTTCATGAATGTACAATTCAAGTCTTTACAGGGCAGCACTTTCCGTGAGTTTACCTGCGCAAAGATCTTAATCTGGATGAGGTGCAATGTCTGCTTAAGAGACGTTATGCAAATTGCACGTCGTAAAATACATTGATGACGACGGTGATGATGATGACGACGGTGATGCAACGCGTTGGGACCGAAGCTGTGATAGCAACTGAAGGTTTGTGATCAGGAGATCCTTGGGTCGATCTGGGCGAAGTATCCATTTTGGAGGGGCCATGCTTCGCCAAACAGCTCCTCGTCGAGGTGTCCGATGTTGTAGCTTCCAGCGGCACCCACTCCTCTCAGACCTTGTTTCAGGCCTCACGGCGCTTTAGACTCCTCGCAAAGTTCGGCCTGTGGGAGATTCATTTGGGAGACTTCGAATCAGCTGGAGCAGACGCGTCTGGTTTTTCAGCGGGCAATGTTTGCATGATTAATGCCGTACAACTTAATAACAGATTTATGGACAGGAAATGTGCGTGTACACTGCTGCAATGCAGAAATTACGCCAATGCTTGTACGTTTGTTAAGGGCGGTAAGTGTGCACTTGACTAATGGTTTGGTCACACGGCCAAACCCTTGGATGAAAAGAAAAAAAGCATTGGGTCGGCTTTCTGATATGATTATTTTGAAGTCATAATACTTCTAGAGTATAAACAATTGGGATATCTTTATTACTAGTGTCCTGCCAATGGAATCTCCAGCGGCCCGGTCTCACCGATATCATCAAAACAGTTTGCTTTTCTTGATGTGAACTCCCAAAACTTCAAGCTGCTTTCAAGGCAATTAGCGTGGGCAGGACCGACAGCATGAATTATGTAGAGAAAGTGTCTTCAAGGACATATTTACAGCCGTTAAGTTCTCGCAGCATTACAAATTAGATGTGGTTCATTTAAATAACGGTTAAAATGCAACAAGCTCGCCTAACAGCGGCACGCTCCTTTGATTATGACAAGGAGCGTGCCTGGGTGGCAGACGGATGCACATTTGAGCTGAGAGATATACAGAAGCATGAAGACAATCAGAAAATGTTCTAAACGTTTCATCTTTCTTCTATGGCCACTCCGAGTTGCCTCCCGACAGGGGACTTTTTGTAGGCGCACGAAGCCTTGGTAATAAACCTCACTTTGTGGAAGATCCTCAATTCGTTACCGCTCAAGGGACCATTGAAATCGGGCCCCCGTGTAGTACCAATATTCCTCCTTGCGATGAACGCTGGCCCCTTTTGCACGATGAAAGGCGAAAATCACAGCTTTGCCCCCGAGCCCAGCTCCCGTGGGTCCGTGACCTCGGCGGGTGCGACCTCTGACACGGCGATCCGGGGCCCCTCTGGGCGGCTGCCTCAGCTCTTCCCTTTCCCGGCCGGCGGTGCCGCCGTCGGCCCTCGCTCGCGTCGCGTGTGGGGGGCATCTGCAGTGAGTTTGCAAAACTACAGCCAATTATATTACCGGCGGCTTCGCATTCCCCAGCCGTGCGCGTCGACCACTCGGTCCAGTCGTTGCTCTTAATGTTGCACTTAAAAGGCACATATGTAGTATGGTTGCGATTTACACGTATTTATATCTGTTCCCAGATATGGTGATGTGGCATTATTTATTAGGTGATGGTGGTGGTGTGTGGGGATTCTGTTTTTAATCAGGAGGTGGATGAAGGGGATATATTTCTTTGCAATGCAAATCTGTTGATCTTTTTACAGAGTGGGAATGATTGTGGAGAGGTCCGTTTGGGTGATGTGGCAACACGTGGTGTGAATGTGCTCACCGTGAGCTCCACTCTCACTGTAAAACAAGTGCCTTACATGACCGACTACTTATTAAACATTCTGATGAAAGCTACCAGTCTCTCATTATCATAAACTATGATGTAAATAAATACATAATGCATCCCCTGTGTCATACCACTGCTGCTTGAATGCCCTCCCCCATGCCATATTAGTCATAGAGGTGTATTTAACCCAACGTCACCACAATGGCCAATAAAGGTTGGTAAAAAATAATGTGGGGGAGCAAGGCAGGATTAGTTCAAACGTCAAATGTTGTTCTGCCCTCTCTGCTCTAAAAATAGGGCAATTGCCTAAAATATTGGCTACTGCTTATTTTATAGATGATAATGGAGTTTTTTTCCCATTCGATTGGGCAAAACACTGGGTCTTCCTAAAGAGTTCAGTTCCATTTTAACCAATAGTCAAACTGTGTTTTACCTCTCACGATGACACAATTCCGTGGGCAGTTTGATGCATTTTAAGCCTCCGAGCAGATTCAGTGTCTTTTGTAAACAAGTCAAAAGCACAGCTAATTTAAGACTTTAGGTGAGGGTTTTTGCAGCCTCGCAGAAAGGTCCGTAGTTTATTTGGCCTGTAATAATGCACGCAGGAGGATTACTGGCGCGATGCACATGTTTACTCACCCTGGCGGGACAATGCACGGGACATAATGGCCCAACTTGGGCGCAAACAGAGTGGGAAGGGTTGGGGAGGATAGGAGGGAGGGAGGTGCAGGGACGTGGATGGCATTGTGAGTGAATTCGGGCCTCCTGCCGCACACACGCAATAAGCTCCAACGCCAAAGACAAAGATCCCACGTGTAGCCTTAACAGACTGTAGGGGCAAGTGCTGTTAGCGAGCACCTATGAAGGCCGGCACGGCACACGAGCGGGTGGGTGGCCAGCACCACGCCCGGCCGCCTTTGTCCAGTGGCGATGTTTACACATCGCACCAGGTACTCATTTGATGCTGAGTCGACCTAGGGGAGGCCCAGGACGGGTTCGTGGAAAGTACTGTCCAGTCGTTGTCTCACGGGACAACAAAAACAACAGTGCAGAGTGTTTTAGTGTAATAAATAAAAAAGGAACAATTATAATGTTCATAAAATAGCACGCGTGTTTTTTGCGCTCTGTCATTTTTGTTATGGAAGTCATTTTTTTTACGATGAGTTTTAGATTCAGAATAAAAATTCAACGGTGGTTATAATTTTTGGACAATTTGGTGGTGATCGCTGAAGATCATGGAAAAAGTAAAAAAAACACAGTGCTCATGAATGATAGAGGAGGAGGTTAGTAAGCTATTGGGGAGGTGAGCGAGTTTCTTTATGAGTTGACTGTCAGCAGAGGAGGTGAGTTCACGGGGAGGCGAGTAACTTTTGGAGGAGGTTACAGTCCTGAGTTTCGGAGCAGGTAAGTGAGCCATATGAGTTGAACGGTGGAGGAGGTTTGGTAGTGGAGAAGGTGAGCGACAAAGAGGCGAGTCTTTGAGAAGATCAGTAATGGAGGACGAGTAAGCGAGATGCTGGGTGATGTGCTTTGGTTCTATCGGTAAAGTCGCGCAGATAAAACAAATTATAATAGAAAATAAAGTGAAAAAACCCCCCACTAATGTAGACTGTAGCCTGGTTCTTAATCGGAGTGAGTGTACTGGCAATCGATAATGTGGACTTTATTATTATGTTCGGAGTTTTTTTTTCACACTTTATTTTTAATTATTATTTTTCTACCTAAGTGACTTTACCGAAAGAACCAAAGAACATGAATCCCTGCAGTCACGAAAGTTTAAAGTCATGCTGGGCGATGATGTCTCGGAACCGCTCCGTGCCCGACAAGGTGGCTTCCTTTGCCCCCCCCCCCCCCCAGGGGTGCCCGAGTGATGCCGGTAACCATGGAGACACCCGGGCGTGCTGAGCGACCAGCGGGCAGCTCCGGGGGGCGCGCGAGATCGACGTCGGACGGGGCCCCCGAGCGAGTTGCCGCGTCGAGCACCACCACGTCACAAGGTGAGTCGCGGGGTCGCGACCCCGCCGGGGTGCTTTCCTGTGGGGCCCACGCGGCACGACTCTACAGCGGTAGGCCCCGCAGTGTGCACTCGGTTAGAAGGGGGGTGGGGGAGGTGGGTGGAGGGGGGCACAACGCAACAACGCAGTCAACTTTCGGTAAAGTCACGTAGGTAGGAAATTTATACGAAAAAAAATCTGAAATAAATTAGAAATTAGAGCAAAAAACAACCCACGACGTTTACGATCGCAACACAAGCTGTCTTAATTTTTTTATTTTTTTATTATCTATCCACGTGACTTTACCGAAAGAACCAAAGAATATGAATTCCCGCGGTCACGAAAGTTTTAGGTCAACATTTAACGCGTTCAGTGTTAAACGAACTGTGAACAAATGTTGAGCGCTAAACAGAACGAATCAAACGGTATGATCTGCTCGTGTCTGTCGTGCCACGCTGCTCAAGCACTCGCTCCTTGTGTTAGAAAAGGCTGGCTCGCCAATCGTTTAACTGGACGCTTTTTAGTTTTCTTCCTTTTACGTGACTCTTAAGAAGTCCGACGGTGAATTGAGCCTTCAACAAGAAATGGTGAGGGGGCTAGGGGGGCTGGGGTGGATCAGCTCCCTCAAACAAACCACCACCCCCCCCGCCACCATCGCACACGACAGACAGGGCTTTGCTCGCATGCGACAAACTCAAACTTACCGCGCTCGGATGCGGTAAGTTTGAGGCTGCTCGACAAGGGCAATAAGTCGGATGAGACAAAATAGCAGCAGCAACAACAACAACAACAAAAGCCATGCATGGATCGGCCAACAACCGCAAACGAAAGTCGCTATGTTGGCAGTAAATTAAAATGGGCATGGGCTGGACACAGGTGGGTGGGGGGGGGATAGCCGATCGACGAGACTGTTGACGGAGTGGTAGCCAAAGGAGAGAACGTGCCCACGCTGAGGTGGAGCAAGGAGGGGTCCTTGTGCAAGCCGTGGGATGGACGGTGGCAACACTGAGCTCCAGCGTCTAGTTGCGAGACGCTGGCTAATGATGATAAAGACAAATCAACTCCGTTGTTTATCCATTGCTTCTAATCACGGCAAATCGAAAAGGTAAGGGTGATGTTGTGAGCAGAAAGCTAGTTTCCACTAAATGTGGGGGGGTGTAGTGGCTTCTATGCCACTAATTGATGGGAAATAAGTTTTCGCCAGCACATCATTGGTAAGAATATGTGGTCGGTGATGATAATTCTGAATTATGAGCATTATTGTTGGTTTTTCGTTGCTGTTAATATGCTGCTCACGTAATTTGTGGTGCTTTTGGTTTAATGAGAGTATAATTGTGAAATGTTATTACAATGTATTTGTTTTCCATTTGCAGGGGTTCGTATTACCTCAGGATTAATCTCTGTTGTGGCATGAGTAAAACTAAATAGAATACAAACTTGGTTTGAAGCTTTCGTGACTGCAGGAATTACTCTTTGGTTCTTTCGGTAAAATCACGTAGAAATAAAATACATTAAATAATAGAATACGACGTTTCGATTGCAACACAAGCAATCGCCATCAGGTAGAAAACAAACCTAGTGAACTTAGAAACACAATGCAATCCAACACAGAGAGTCGGCTAACACAACAGTCAGCACCTTACCTGGTTGAGTACATTCTTCCAAAGATAGCTACATTTCAGAGAGAGACAAAACACAGACACGGGGACACACAGACAGACACACAAGCAGAGAGAGAGACAACACAGAGACACACAGAGAGAGACACACAGAAAGAGACACACAGAAAGAGACACACAGAGACACAAGCAGAGAGAGACACAGAGACACAAGCAGAGAGAGACACACAAGCAGAGAGACAACACAGAGACACACAGAGAGAGACACACAGAGACACACAGAGAGAGACGCACAGAGACACAAGCAAAGAGAGACACACAGAGACACAAGCAGAGAGAGACACACACAGAGACACACAGAGAGAGACACACAGAGACACACAGAGAGAGACACACAGAGACACACAGAAAGAGACACACAGAGACACAAGCAGAGAGAGACACACAGAGACACAAGCAGAGAGACACACACACAGAGACACAAGCAGAGAGAGACACACAGAGACACACAGAGAGAGACACACAGAGACACACAGAGAGAGACGCACAGAGACACAAGCAGAGAGAGACACAGAGACACAAGCAGAGAGAGACACACACAGAGACACAAGCAGAGAGAGACACACAGAGACACACAGAGAGAGACACACAGAGACACACAGAAAGAGACACACAGAGACACAAGCAGAGAGAGACACACAGAGACACAAGCAGAGAGAGACACACACAGAGACACAAGCAGAGAAAGACACACAGAGACACAAGCAGAGAGAGACACACAGAGACACACAGAGAGAGACACACAGAGACACACAGAGAGAGACGCACAGAGACACAAGCAGAGAGATACACAGAGACACAAGCAGAGAGAGACACACACAGAGACACAAGCAGAGAGAGACACAGAGACACACAGAGAGAGACACACAGAGACACACAGAAAGAGACACACAGAGACACAAGCAGAGAGAGACACACAGAGACACAAGCAGAGAGAGACACACACAGAGACACAAGCAGAGAGAGACACACAGAGACACAAGCAGAGAGAGACACACACAGAGACACAAGCAGAGAAAGACACACAGAGAGAGACACACAGAGACCCAACACCTCTGTGCCGAGGCCTTAAATAGAGAGAGGGGGGGGGCAGAGAGAGAGGTGGATCTGCTGGAGCAGAGAAGTGAGCATGTCAATGAGAGAGCTGTGTGAAAATCCACCCCGAAGCGACCGAAGGGGAGAAAGAGCGAATGGATCTATGAGAGCCTGGTACATTTTATAGAGAGAAATAGGCAGTTTGAGAAAAAATAAAACGTAGCAATTTTTTTGGAAATACAATGCAATCCAACACAGAGAGTCGGCTAACACAACAGTCAGCACCTTACCTGGTTGATTACGTTCTTCTAAAGATTGCTAAATTTGAGAGAGAGGGACAAACCACAGACACGGGGACACACAGACATACACACAAGCAGAGAGAAACAACACAGAGACACATAGGCTATGCGTTAACTGTGTGTTAGCCGACTCTCTGTGTTGCATTGCATTACATTTCCAAAAATCTGCCAAGTTTTATTTCTCAAACTGCCTATTTCTCTCTATAAAATGTACCAGGCTCTCATTGGTCCATTCGCTCTTTCTCTCCCTCGGCCGCCGCCAGGTGGATTTCCACACAACTCTCTCATTGACATGCTCACTTCTCTGCTCCAGCAGACCCACCTCTCTCTCTCTGCCCCCCCCCTCCCTTCTTTCTCTATTTAAGGCCTCGGCACAGAGGCGTTGGGTCTCTGTGTGTCTCTGTGTATTTCTCTCTGTGTGTCTCTGTGTTGTCTGTCTCTCTCTCTGCTTGTGTGTCTGTCTGTGTGTCCCCGTGTCTGTGTTTTGTCTCTCTCTCAAATTTAGCAATCTTTGGAAGAACGTAATCAACCAGGTGGGGTGTTGACTGTTGTGTTAGCCGACTCTCTGTGTTGTATTGCATTATAATTCTAAGTTTACTGTGTTTGTTTTCTAATTCATTCTTCCCTGATGATGGTTGCTTGTGTTGCAATCGAAACGTCGTATTCTATTATTTAATTTATTTTCTTTCTACGTGACTTTACCGAAAGAACCAAAGAGTAAATAGAATACATTTGACAAATATTCTGACACTGAAGTTGTTTCTATTACAGTTTTCTGCTGTAATATGAAAATGTTTTATCCCCTTATGGCGTCATTTGAATGTTTTATTTTTAAACGTCGTACATATTATTTTTTTGGTTTAGCAGTATTGGTACAAAATAACATTGAAACCAAGTTGAAAACAAAATGTCAACTGAAATCAACAGATGGTGAAAGAAACACACCCCAAGTGACTGAGGCCAGAGCCGATTTGTCCCCTAATAAGCTCTGTCAGTCTCAAGCCACTAAGTCCACCAAACTGACACTGGCGGCTCTTTCGAGCCCTCTTCTTTTTTCAAAACACTGCCATTTTTCGCTTGGATGCACCCTCCACGTCTCACTTGGCTATCCTTTTTCGTTCTCCCACCGGAAGAGCAGAGTGTTTCCTGAGTTCTAAACAAAATCAAAAGCTTCCCTCGCGAGTGGTGGGAGATCAGTGTCTCCTGCCCCAGTCTCATGCCCATGGGAACACGCATTTAGCTCGGGTCCTTTCTGCCTACGTGTCCATCCGTACGACTCTCGGCCTGTTTGTCTGCCTGTTTGTCCACCCAGCCACCCAGCCACCCATCCACCCAGCTACCCAGCTACCCAGCAACCCATCCATGTGTCCGTCCATCTGTTTGTCCATATGTCCGTCTGCCAAGGTGGTGGTCATGGTCCGTGCTTCCTGAGTGCTAAGGGCAAGAGGGGCTTGGCAGAGATACAGGCAGTCGGGAAGTTTGTACTATGGAAACCGTGTCTCTGGGGCTTTATGCTCTTTTCTCTGGAAGGGACACATTGTCGGTTGGAAAATTTTTTTTTTTAGTTTCTTCATACTCGGATAAGGACCCATATATGATTATCTCTCTGCTGATTATATAAAATTGACTTGAAGAATTCCTTTCTTCAAACAGATATTGCAGTCCGCTTGCCAGAGACTCAGTCTTATGGTTTGTAAACTTGGCTTTAAAAGGAGGAAAAAAATAAAGAATAAACTGTAGACGTTCTGGAACACAAATGTTTCCAGTAATAGAAAATAATTATACACATATGGCATTTTTAATATATATCAATTTTATTTTGGCTACAGGGTTGAGTTTGTTCAAGTTAGAGGCATGTTTAAAGCATCTGGTCACAAACAATAAGATTGGTGCGTGGTGGAAGGCTTGGTGCAGTCGGGCTAGAGGCAGGACCGTGTGTTATTGTCACGAGAATTGGCCACACATTTTCTCAAAAAGCTCCTGATCC